AAATCCATCCTAAAAAACCCCGGGCAATACCAGCCCTTTCGCTGTAACCCCGGTCTGGTTCTAAATCTGCTAACTAACCAAGTGTAGTATGTGTGTGTAAACCAAAAACCCATTTTGGTTTGGTTCGGATGGCGGACAACCCTGAAAGGGGGCTGGTTCGTCATCCGAACCACGCCCCCTCCAGGCTCCCCATTTCGAGGGATTGAGGGAGGGACACACACACACACACACACACACACACACACACACACACACACACACACACACACACACACACACACATACAAACCATAGAAGACAATATAAAGAACGAAAAACTCTTCTTTTTTATAAAAAAAAGGGGGGCCAGAAAGTGCAGAAAACATATATAAGAATAGATGCAAGAATTATTAAAAACTAAAAAATAATAAATCTTCACTAAGAGAATGGAATAAACTTTGAAGATACCCAACACGAAMCCCCCCCCCATACGGTCTGCTGGTTTGTAACCCAGCCTTGAAAACTAACCCCCTCCMAAAAAAACCCAAGTACCCCTGCACATAATTAACCCAAGGAATACCTCTTGCTACGCACTGCATTCCTCAGAGCACCCGACACCTGCACTTACAACCCCCCCCCCCTCCAAAATAGATGCAGCGCATCTCGACACGGCCAAACGAGAAAACGCCTCCTCGGTCTGGCCCCGATGACAACAAGACAAAACCCGCACGCGACACCCACCCCGGCACACCAGCACCTGCAGTACACAAGGGACAAAAACACCCCTGCCGCTTCAAGCTCGTGAAGCCAACACAAAAACAAAAACACACAGCCGCCATATCCGCTCTACAGGACACGAACGACCATGTGAAKGGACACCACCTCCTGCCAAACAACACGTCGCCGAGAACCCAACGCGACGAACCCACGCATGTGCGTACGTCTCTCGACATCGCAACTATTRCACTTCGACGACGGACTGCAAAYGCCCCCCCACTCCCCCAGAAGAAACACCCCACTTCCTCACACACACCCCCGGCACTGCCACTTCCAACCCCCACCCTTTCCCCCACCTGCGTGCAAACATGGCCCGAACTAGGAAAGATCTCCCCGCCCAACTCTCCTTTCCCCCCCCCCGCACTCACTCGACTTCCCCATCACAAGAAATCCCCCATCTCCCACCCGCACTGACTATATCTTCTACCTCCTCCCCACTACTGTTCATCTCAGTTCGCTGCAAGCACTCCTCCCGAGCGCCACGATTTCCTCCACGGCACGGCACTGCTCCTCCATAGCCGACAACAAAGCCAACCTCCTCAACACTTCCTCCCTCTTGCTCTGCCCAGCAGTAAAACGTTCTGCGTCTTCCTACAGACAGGCACACAGTCTCCCGGAACTCTGCAGAGATGGCAGGAGCCGCAGATGAGATCTTCTCCGATGCGGACATAAACGCTCACGTGGTAAGCTCCCCCCTCCCCCCTCCCCCCTCCTCAAACACCCTCCTCGACGAAACCTGCGTTCACTTTTTTCCGCTCCCCTTCCCCTCCCACAAACTTCATTCCCTCCTTCTCCCCCCCTGATACCTCCCCCACCCATCACCTCTTCCTCCCTGGAACACCTGCGTTCCMCCCTCTTGCTTCCCAACTCCCATCTACTCACCTCCCTTCCCCTCCTCCTCACTCCCCCTCTCTCTCCCCCCTCTCTCTCCCAATTTCCTCTCCTCTCTCCAGAGTAAGGACTTCATGTCCACCTACCCTCTGATGAGCCATCCAATGGCGCGGATGGCGAAAAGCGCTTAAGGGGACGCGCCTACCCCCCTCCTCCCCAGACGGAAATTGGTTCGTTGGGTGATGGAGCCACCTCTCCTTCCTCCTGCCTACTCTCCTCTTCTCCTTCCCCCTCGTTTCAACTCTTCCACTCCTGGCACATGTAACTACACACTTCACGGCTGACTATATTCGACGTATGACATACATATGATGATCGATGTTAATACATACCACATACCAACCGCACCGACTATTCATTAGACGTGACCTTAGCAGCAAGACTCCTTATCCCCCCTGGACTAATAGTTTCGGATTAATCCTACCCACCGCTCCTGCGCGACCATGAATACTTCACTAAAGAGAAGTGCATCCTTAAATGATTTTCGTCACCTTCTGCGTGACACTGTGTGTTAGTTTGTACCTGTTATCCTCCCCTCCCCCCCTTTTATTCGTCGACAAGATACACGACTCCCTGACCGAATACTTCATTCAATACCTGGAATTCGCACCCACTTACCGAACGCCCCACTAACCCAAACTCGTACACGTCATCACTTCCCCGGACGTCCCCCCCTCTCTCTCTACTCATCCGCTAGATGGAAATACCCTCACCCGCCGTAAGATATGCCCTCAATCAGCCAAACATACCACCACCGCAAATACCCCTCCTTTACCACCTTTCTCCCTCTCCCCCCTCGACCTCATGCTCCGACCGTCTCTCTCTCTCTCTCCTTCCCCCCCCTCCCTTTACCACCTTTACAATAGAACGCACCAACTACGCCTACCACTAGTCGGACTCACAAGGTTTATGGACTTGACAATATCCTACGTAACAACTTGGTGGCAGACGTTATATCAACCTCATTGGCACAACTATTAGTCCTCTGCAAATGACATAACTTGTAGCTTTCAAAATCTTCCTTCATACGTAATTAATTTTTTTATCGAAAGACTCACTCCCCTTCTCGATCCCCCTACCCCCTTCCCCTTCCCTCTCTCATAACCATATACGACTCCCTGTGCAAATACTACCGCCAATAGCATTCTGCTCACGTAATACCCCGCAGGTCCAAACTCTTAAGCTTCCTCACTTCCCCGGACCCCCCTTTTTTTTTCTCGAAACTTCATACCTACATGGTTGCTGTCTCCTTTTGTAAAGTTACAGACATAGAATTCTTATGTTAACTGTCTCCTACACGTTAGTACGAATGCCTGAAAACCATAACTTGCCTAGATCTGATACGTCTTCACGTAGTACTTCCTCATGCAATCCCCTCGTTATAATCGTCTTTTTGTAAGAAACACTCTCACCACTCACCAAAAAACTTTGCCCCTCGACAAGCCAGATGTACAGCCTGTGCAAGCACTCTTCCACAATCTTCGCACAAACACATTTGTCGCCATTGCCATGGCCGTACCACGTAATATAACACAGTCTATCACACCCCAACGATACTGTCGCTTTCTTCAAACAGTAACTCACCCCTCACACTCACCTTTACTCCGCCTCCAAACCAAACCAACCAACCCGCACCTGGTCAACTGCCTCGGTATAGGATCATACCAACTTTCCCCCGAGTAGGTACAATTGTATATGTATATAGATTTTAAAAGGTCCATTCGAACACGGGTCTAACCCTTCACTGTTGTCAATGTAGGGTGTCATCGAACGTTTCGCTCTGCAGATGGCCATTCAACTCCCAGATGTACAGCCTGTGCAAGCACTCTTCCACAGTCTTCGCACAAACACATTTGTCACCATTGCCATGACCGTACCGCGTAGTATAACACAGTCTATCACACCCCGACGATACTGTTGCTTTCTTCAACAGTAACTCACCCCTCACACTCACCTGTACTCCACCTCCAACCAAACCAACCAACCCGCACCTCGTCGACTGCCTCGGTATAGGATCATACCAACTTTCCCCAGAGTAGGTACAAATGTATATGTACATAGATTTTAAAAGTCCCTTCTTAGAAAAAAGAAATCACCATTCAAACACGGATAACAGAAAGAGAATGAACATAAATGAAATACAACAGTCGATTAAAACTTGACTCTAACCCTTCACTATCGTCAATGTAGGGTGTCATCGAACGTTTCACTCTGCAGATGGCCATTCAATTCCCAGACACTGTCCCCCAGGTCAGCGAAATTCTTCTTCTCCCACAACCCACCCCTCCCCCCTCCCCCCTCCCCCCTCCCCCCACACAAGAAAGTCTGCACCCTGACAACGTCCTCAGACCCTATATGCCCAAGTATTAGTACCCCCTACCTCTCAAATTGGTACACCCACTCGACTCGCACATACTCGCCACGGCACTGCCACCCCTGTCCAAGAGGACAACACCCCAACCCTTCAGAATTTACACGAAATAAACCCCCCGCTCTTACTTTTCACTACATACCCCCATATCATAGTGGCTCAAACACTACCACAATAGCCTCAGGCTAAGCGTTTTTCTAAACGATACTATTCACCATCCGGTTCTACCCAATTACCCAATTCTTACTATCCTCACCCAAAAACCTCACTTTTTGTCGCCCCTCTCCCTATACCTAGCTATACACCCCTTCACAACCAAATATTGAATAAAATAGCCGCACAGAAAGCACCCCTATTTTTCATTCTCCTGTCAAGAGATAATCCTTTTTCAGCATTATAATTTCAGTTTAACCTTGTTTGACACACTCTTCTCTCACCCCCCTCAACAACTAAGACAATAAACAGCTCTTGCATCGAACACCCAAAACAGAACGCCCTGACTACTGCCCCCACCCTTGTTCTAAACTGATGATTTCGGACAGAAGTCTTCCCACTCCCTACAACTGTGCAACACAGCAGAACAATAGCTCCCCTCTTGCTGTCACAGTTCTCATGAACAAAGATAACGAATCCTCCCCAAATAAAAGAACCCCTCTTCTACTAGTCTAGTGTCTAGCACATACCACGGCTTTCTCTCAAGACTATAGAAAACTGGCAATTCCCGCTCCATAAGATAGCTTACATACAGATATAACTAACCCCCCAAAAAATATATATTCTGCCTCCTGACCCTGTCACTTTTAGACATGCTCTCTCTCCCCCCCAATATACGAATCCTCGAAACAAGTACGCATGGAATCCCCAACAGAAGACGCCCCTGCAACTCTTACCCACTCACCCGCAGGTCTCTTTAGTTGTTTTCTATTGACATGCTCCTTCCTCTCTTGTAGTCTGTATTAACTCGTACCCCTACCGTGTGCAGGATCAGGAAAACATCAACAGAGGATGGCATGCAGAGCTCGCCCCCAACATCGCGCCCTTTGCTGCACTCCAGCCGCCGACTGCACATTCGCAACTGGTGATGATGTCTCTGCCCGAAGATGTCCTCCTCAAGGTCCACGAGGCCACACAAGATCCTTACCTCATAGATACTCTCACGTTCAGTGATTGGGCCGTCATCAGCGGAATCTATGAGTTCGCCCCAGAGACCCTAGAGAGGAAGATCCAGGCGCTTGCTCACAGTGCCCCCATCATTGTCTCTAGGAATAGAATAGAAAATAGGGAGATCAGCAAGATTATCGCTAATGGAGAAAAGACCATTCTTGAGAATTTTGGTTACAGTACGGCCCACCTCACAAACATCGGAGATATAGACGTATCGGAACAAGTAAACGTTAAGAGACAGGAAAGGAGGAGGCGAATTGGCTTGTCACAAGCAGAAATAGACTACTTAGAAAAGCAGCAGGAAAAGAGACTGAATGCCGTCCTTGCTACTGCCTCCACCGCTGCTGACAGCTCAGGCAAAACGCATAAACTTGCACAGGACAGCCACTTTCTCCCACTAGTCTCTAGCGCTTGGATAGAGAGACAGAGTAAGCATGTCTCGCATAAGTTATGGCACTTAGACAACTTCAATTACACTGCCCCTATCTCCGTCGAGGCCTACAAGGCCCTTGCAAACCTCTCAGACAAAGATCTGAAGAATTGCAAGGAAGCTGCAGACAGTTTTGCACTTCTTCTCCCAAACAACAGACCTGCATTCGATGGTGGCTTCCCTCTTTTAGCCATACTAGACAAGACGAAGTGTCCGGTCTCCAAGCAGGTCCTAGTGCAGAAAGGTTTCCCGCGCGTTCCACCGACACTAGAGGAGGTAAAGAAGATGTGGAACACAGGCAGACCATACCTCAAATGCACCTGCACCACGAACTGCGGCAAGAGCATTACATGGTTCGACCACTTCGTGTGGTATTACATCGCCAATCTGGACTTCTTCGACCCGAATGCCCCTTCGGACATCACCAGGATGTTGGACTTCCAGCAACGACTGGAAACCGAATGGAGACAGCCGGTCCTGGCACAGGTCTCCTTCCTGTACATGAGGAAGATGATGACCAGCATCCTGGAGAGGCTCATCGATAACCCCAAGAGCACGGCTGAGCAACTTTTGGAGCATCCCTCCTTGAAAGACGTCCCTTTCGCCAAGAGGTTTGCTGCCATCCTTCTCCCGGAGGAAGCCGACAGAGCGAAGACCCCCTCTTCAAGGCGCAGAGCAAGGTCACCGGCAAATGACATGGTTCAGCGCAGCAGAAGCAGGCAGACAACTCTCACATTCGCCACAACACCGAATCGGCAACCAGACAGCGCACCCTCACCTGCATCTGTAAGCCTCCGAACCCCCAGCAGTATGCCCGCACCCAACGCCCACACCACCAGCAACAGCACCCCCCTGGCTCCCCAACCACATCCTCCACCAGTCCACGTCTCCCCCGCTCCTGCCTCCCTGTCCCGCACACATGCGACACCCCCCACTGCCTCACACGTTACACCTCCTCAGCACCACAACTCTCCTCCCCCTGCCACGCTGCTAGCACACACTACACCTGCAGCTTTGGCCACAGCAGATGCAGCCATGCAAAGGCCTAAGCAGAAAAGGCCCAGAAACGGGCGTAGAAGCAAGCACTCAGGCGCACACACAGCTAAGAGGGCACGCGTCCCTAGGAGCAATGACAGACATCCCTCTGGAACCTCTCTCAGAGCACAGGCGCAGCAACTCATCACAACGGCCTTGCATTCAAATCAGCCACTGCCACCTATTCTACCACTGCCCACGCAGCACAACACCGCATCTGACACCATTGCCTGCAGCCCCTTCCCCAATCACCCTTCTGTCAGGCAGCCCCAACTTACACCCAACCCCTGGATCCCCCCTGTGCAGCAGCTGATCAGACGCCTCTCTGCAGACAATACCCCTTCCCCTGCCCCTCTACCCCGCCTCGCCACACAGATAATCAATGTCTCTGAAAGCTCGTCCAGGCCCGGCTCCAGACCTCATCTTGCAATCAATGTGAGCTCGCCGTCACCGGACACGCCAGCGAGACCCGTCAGTTCCTTTGGTCATATTCTCCAAGGCTTCGGTGCAGATGGCTCCCCGTCTACTTCAAGCTGCCTTGGTAATGAAGAAGTCGTCCAAGAAACTCAGGACCCAGTGACAGCAAAGATCACTAGAAGAGATCTCAGACAGGAGTATGACCGCGAGCGCCTCGCATTGTCTACTAGCTAGAGGTACAAATGCAGTTATAGGCTATAGTCAGCATACTGCCTCCAGCATTCATACCATTTCGAGAGCAAAACAGCCTGTCCTCAGACTCGTCCCACGTCTTTTACAAACCTGTCTAGTTCCTGAGCCTTGGAAACAGATAGCACTAATGGTTGTGGATATACACTGCCATGAGCAGAGGCTGGTCTCACCCAGTCTTGTCCCTGGGTCGAAGAGAAGCAATACAGTGGTCGAAACCAAAAAAATGCTTTCCTTTCGGCCTTGATGATCTACTCAAAGTAACAGGAAATCGTGAAACCGCTCACGAATGCCAGTCTAGCAAGCCATCTGTCTCTCCGCCCTCAAAGACCCGGTCTCAGGTCGGATTGCAAGCTGCAACTCGCCCGCATCAAGGCGGAATCGCTAACAATCGCAAGACAACAATGTTTTTTGCAAATAAAAATCTACTCTAATACATGGAATGTAGATTCAACAGTTCATTTGGATTAATTTCTTGATAGAACCACCAGGAATAACGGCACCATGACACTAGTTAAGAGAGTAGATAGTAGTAGTAGCTTGAAGAACTCTTGAAGTTTCTGATACGACAAGCACTTGGAACTGAGTAAGAAAGTCACAAGTTTGGAGTATTTACTGAGCTACATATAAGACTTTATCAGGAAGACCTGTTGACATCAGTTCGAATGCAAATCCGCAACCCGCTCAAGTCCTGACCCCTTATTTGATATGCTCTGAGTTTTTGACCTCCTGTGCATATATCATCTGGAATACCCCCTTCCTCTCCCCTCCTCTCCTCGCTCCTCTCCTCTCCTCTCCTCTCCCCTCCTCTCCTCTCCTCTCCTCTCCTCC